TATATATATATAGATAAGGTATTCCACCGGAATCAAACCGTATCTTTGAAATAATATATAATTTTTTTTCTGACATTTTCTACAGATAAAAATATAAGATATGTGTTTTGCAAAAAAAATTTGATTCTTTTTTTAGTTATTCGCGTTGGTAAGTTGCAGAAGTTTATAAAAAAAAACGTGATACAGAATAATTTAAAATCTTCAAAATTAATCTTTTATATTTTTCGTATAACTAATGATTTCGATAATATAATAATTTAAATGTTCGCATGAGCGACGTTTTTAATGATTTTTACAATTTACAAGAATAAATAGCTATAAAAAAAAATTTCAACTTTTTGTCACGAAACACGTGTCTTATATTTTTATCTGTTAAAATGTCAACAAATAACAAAAAAGAAAAAAAATTACGATATTTTAAAGGTGCCCGGTTTGACGCGGAATGCCTCAAATATACACTTACATACAAAGTATTCCAAAATTTGTCCAAAATACTATAGCAAGATAGTTCTTAAAAAAAAATTAAGTTAATGTAAAAATATTAATTGTGAATGTTTATTTTTAACATAATTTTAACATAATAAACATTTGTTATTACATGACTAATTAACTACGTTTAAAAAAAATGGTCACCTATTTATAAACATTATCTAAAGTGCGACTCACTAATACTCATGAAATAGCCTGTAATCAACCTTATAAAAATATTTGTATTACAAAAAACTATTGCTTAAAATACAAATTAAAACTATATATAAACAACATATATATATATATATATTTACTTTTTCGAGAACTTTCTTGCTATATTGTTTTGAGTCATGAATATGGATATTTAGGATACTTGTGTGGTATATGTATACATATATATATACTCTATACATCAATATCTTTTACCTTCAGATCATAACTAATATTAAATAAATATTAGTTATGATCTGAAGATAAAAGACATTTTGTTATGATTCTTTAAAAATTTTTTAATTAAATAGATTATATTAGGGACTTTTAAAGATTATCATGGTCATAAATTAATATTTAATAAATATTTTATAGTTTTAATTAAACGTTGAGAAAAAAAATTCTGTGGAGACAAAACGCGATACTTGATATATTTTTGTTAAATAAATTAATGTTGACCATCTTAAATAACTGTTGTTTGTGTTTTTGGCTTGATATATTGTGTAACAAAGTACGAGATATTTATAACTGATATATGTATATTTTTACACCCTTAACTCCTATATGTTAATATTAAAATTATATATAAGCACCAAATGCACGTACCAAGCGTATATGCCATAAAAATGTTAAAAGCAGCCATGGCAAAGACCCATCGTGATATTGGAGGGTATTCCGGCTTGTCATCGCTGGACGCATAGAAGTAGTAATCATAAATCGCAAATAGCATAAAGTTTAGCACGGTAAAAAGAAATCCCAAGAAAGTTAGTACATTTGGAGCAACCCACTTTGGACAATACTAAAACAAGATGGAATGATTACATATTTATAATAATAATAATACTATATATTATAAAGAAACAATTTGTTCTACTGTAGCTCTACAAAATGGATGAAAAAAAAAAAGAATCTTATTAACATAATAATTGTTCCATCACTGAAGCAGAGATTATACCTGTACTATTTTGTTCCAAAAGGGATGCATAATATACACACTCAGGGGACTTGTGTCCAAGGAGCTATACTGAAATCATAATATATTCCGAATGAATAATCTAGCTAAATATTGAACATGAAATATTATTATTTCCATTATTTGAACAAAGTTTTATACACTAGGAAAAATTTAGAGTGTAAAATATAAAATAATTTTATAAATTATGTGTATGTATGTTGCAATTGTATATATATTACAAAATGTGACATTCAAATATATTCATAATTTCTACAAATCAATAATCTCTACGTGTGAAAAGTGTATTCAAAATCAGATGCTCACCTTGTAACTCTCGAACCCCGTGAGGTGCTCATCCGTCAGGTATTCCACCTCGAACTTCAGCTTACGATACATCCTGGAATCTCAGAAAACTTAACTATTTTACGAATCTAACGTCGTGCTCTGAGACTCGTTAACCACGCGTTTACACGATGGGAGAGGCGCCGGGCCGGGCGATGGGCGCCAATAACACGCGAGAGATCTCCGATGAGCTCTGGTCTTTCACGAGGGGATGCCTTTTTTCTTATTTGTACCGTACGCAAAATCGTCTATCACGTCGGTTCATCGTGGGCATCGGTCGTATCCGCGGTATTTTCACAGTGAACACGAAACTCCAGTTTAGCAGCCTATCCCACAATTACAGATCTTTACTCGGAACGAGGCGCAGATCTACCACGCGTCTGACCGTTGTCGCTGACACAATCCGACGACGAGTGAGTGAGTGGCGACGAGTCACCTCTCACGAATACTCACGATTCACGATTTACGATTACACATATATTACGTATGCACCCGTATCGGATGATCCTGGCATAACGTCGCCCATTGTCGCCCCACGGACCACACCACCGCACACAACGAATGCGCGACGTGCATTTCCACGTAGGAGAGAGAGGAACGCGCGCGCGGCGCCGGCTGATTATCCATTTCAGTCCATCCGTTTGTTCCGTTCGTCATTCTCGATCGCCCACGCGTTTGCTGTTTGAGCGGTCGAGATTGGTCGAGATGGAAAAGAGACATACCTTAACGACTGAGCTTGATAATACAGAGTTGTGCATTATATGTGTAAAATAGAATAATCTACGACCGATATTCATAAGTCAGTTAATATATTTTATATATTATTATTTTAAGACCGTCTCAAGTACAATCTTATGATGTCGCGAGCAAATCACAAAAAAAATTACCTATTGGCAGCTTGAAATCCTAAAGTCAGCTGTTTTATCAGTTATTTTTCAAATATTTTTCTGACTATATATTTAAAGTCCTTTTCCACGATTTAATTAAAAATACAATAAACGGTAATTTAGTCCAAACTGGTCGACTTATTTATGCGAAAAACGAAGAAAAAATTAGAAAATTATAGTTTTGTGATCGACCTCTGGCATCGACTATTTTGCCTATTTATATACATATACAAGTTTTATACTTATACACGCGTATAAAACACTCTTGGTTTGGACTTTGGAGTAAAGTCTGGACTTGGTTTGGATTACATAAACAATGTTAAGTTCTTGGAATTAGACTTAGATATCTAATATGAAAGATTAGGTAGTTAAAAAATTATGTTGCGTGCAATATTGATGTAGTAAGACAAATTATTACTGACATGCAAATCGTATGTGTTCAGTCTCTGAATCGATAAAACAGACGACTTTAGAATATTTTAGATCTTTCACCTTAGAATCACCTTAGACATTGCCACATTAGTTAAGCCAATTTTAAAGAAAGAACTGACTATTTCTTGCAGGGATAGAATAGTTAGCGTATTTTGTAAAAATTATATAAAAACGCTAACAGTGGCCAACCAATGACGACGCGTACATGCAGTGCTCCGATTATACGAGTGGTGAACGATCTGGAGTTTCTCCTAGTCCTGGTTTTATAAAGGCCGAAACAAAAGTTGAGAACGGGTGTAGATTTTGACAGTTGATATCTTTATGGTGTTCTTGATTGGTTTTTGACGTATGTATGCCTGTATGACATGACGTAAGCCGGCTCCGGCGAGATATTCTAAACACACGCTGTGTGTATATCGATTATTATCCGTTCTGAAGATGACATTGTGCTAATTTTACTGATTGACACCTAGTAAGGAATAACGACACAAAGACCGGTATTTGCAGGCATGGGCGATGCTCTCGCTGCTGTCACTACTTGAAAAACGTCAGAAGATCATTGTACGTATTTGTATATGCATATATACTGCAGGTTTGATATAGAAATCATATGTTAACTATAATTGTATTGACAGTTGAGTCGCTCCAGAAGGTTCACCATGGCCTCTGCCACGGAGCAGCAGCAGCAGCAGCAACAGCAGCAGCAGCAACAGCAACATACAACCCTGGAGTTTTATCAGGCGATGGCTGATTTTAAGAACATGTTTCCACAGATGGATGACGATGTGATAGAGGTGAGAGAATTATTGACGTATTAAGTCTATTTCTATCAATTAGATTCACTTCAACCAATTAACATGCTTTTCTATCTTCTTTTAGTTCTAATTGCATGAAGATTAATTAGATTAAGATTAAGAATATGGTTGCATTTGGTTTAGGTGTGTGTTTACGAGCTTTATAAGTTTCACTCTTTATCATTATTATAGAAGAAAGATAAAATAAAGTTTATAGTGCCTAAATTGAATGCAGCCTAAATTTAAACCAAGAAAATGAATTTACATTAAAATAAATACACAATCTAGCCACTGCCATGTGTCCGTTATTTTATTTTAAGAATATGTTTACATTCTATTATATATCTATTGTAGGCTGTATTGAGATCCAATCAGGGAGCTGTGGATACCACAATTGACCAATTGCTCACTATGAGTACCGACAATGAGAATGAGAAGATTAGGAGTGAGCTGGAGCAGAAGGAAGAGCTTCCAAGCGTTGCGAAGTCACCCAAGAAAGACTCAAGCAAAGCAGCGTTAAGAATCAGTGTTCAAAAATGGCAGCCTCCACTGTTGGGACCATTACCGGATACCTTTCTAAGGCTCCCCCAGCAAATGTCTGATGATGGTATCGACTTGGCATACTTGCAAGATAATACTATGCTGGAGGACGAGAGGATCGCCATGTTTTTGCAGAACGAGGAGTTCATGGCAGAGCTTCGTTGGAATGAAGATTTTCTATCTACATTGGAACATGGTAAAGAATTGAAGAGACCACAAAGAAGTGCAATTCAAGAGAGAAAATGGAACGTTTTCTTTCTCTTATAGACACAAAGCTGGAGAAGTGCAGCATCCATACCGGTCACGACGACGAGGATCTATTCAAAGAAAGACTGAAAAATATGGGCAAATGTAAGCAATAAAATCGATAATTCAAATTAAAAGCTATATAGTATATATATATATATATATATATATATATATACACTTGTTATTTTTCTAACGATAAACACTTTTGCAGTATCCCGACGTAAATTCGCGCAACTTACGAAGGTGTTCACTCGTAGTAAGAAGCGCGGCGGTAGGCAATTGTTACCACCAACAGCTTCTTACGACGATCTTCTGGATCCGGAAGAATCATCCAAACCTAAGTCCTAAAGAGAGATCTATATCTATACGATCCTGCTGGAATATTTGCTCTTGTTTTTCGTCATCGTGAGACGGCAAATTCAACGACGTTTGCAACTTAATTTAGATGTCATATGTCATGGAAAGAAGCATATCTATGTCGTGACTTGCGAGAGACGAGATAACTACGTCAGGGTCGTATAAGATATAAATTAATTAGCGATTCAGGTTTATAGCTCACTTGATGGTTGATAATTAGCTGCAGAGATAATGGAATTACAAGGTTTTAATCTGAAGGTGCGTCAGTAAAAAAAAAAACGAAAACTCATCGAATAGAGTGAATATCACGTAAGACGCTTGAAACGATAAAAAAAATTATCAAAAAATCATTGGTAATTATGCAGGTATACGTAGGAATTAATTAATCTTAAAGCATTAATCAATCTTAGTGCGTTAATTAATCTTAATGTATTTTCTAGTAAAGATGCAGATCTGTTTCTGATAAATCAGTGTGATATTTTATGATGTTGTGACGTAAATTTTATTTTAATATATTTTATATTTTGTTGTTGTACGTTGCTTGCGATTATCCATATTATTATGTATTACTGCGTATTATTGCGTATAATCGTTTAAAGACTGACATAAGAAAGTTTTGCAAAAATCTATCGAGCGATAATCTTGATAGAATTTTTTATTATTGATATTGGAAATATACTTAATTCAAATGAATAACAATCGTCATTGTTTTACTTAAGCATGACGAGTAAAACAAAATTTTTATTATACGCAAAATACGCAATGCGTTTGCTTTCTAGCATATATGGCTACGAAAGTAATTGATGTTGTATATATATATATGTTCATGTGCATTGTACGCCGATAGTGCGTTAATGTTAATTAGGCACAATAATTTATTGAAAATTGAAAAAAAAAACGCAACATCGATTTGGATTGGAAAGAAAATGTGATTTTTTGAAAATCCGATTTTCGAGAAGATGGAGATCTGATCGGGTGAGACAAATAATTGATTTGTCAAGACAGAGATAAAAAATGGATGAAGGTTTATGTTATATTCTCATGAAATATATATTTTGCATTATTTTAGATAATTTACCCAAATTCAAAATGTGAAACACTACACAAATATTAGACGCCTTCATTCATTTATCCTTTCGATTCTACTTGCGATTGCAAGTAGTAATTGCACCTCTTTTAGATGTAAAACCTAGTCATTCAGTCTAGCCATTATTTATTAAACAAAGCTCTGTTATTGTAACGATATCGTGTGAATGTAGAAAATATTTATAAAAGTGATTGTAGACAGTCTAAGTAATTTACAACATGTGTTATGATGACAAACACGTATGAGAATAAATCGGAAGAGCTGGAATGAGGGTTATATTTATTTGCATTCAAAAATTAGGGAAGAAATGGTTTTAAAGCACATTTATCTAAATTGTCGCGATTTGTGCTAACCACTTCTCTCCTAGTAATCATGAAATCGACTTGGTAACTGACTCCCAAGAGCACAATATCGAAATATCAAAATGAGCAGATTGTCTTGTGTTACATATCAGGTTGCTTGAAGAACACTCTAGCACCGGAGAGACTATAATATAACAACTGGAACTCGGCGTTTCTCTCAGTGAGACGTTGGAGAGTAAGCGCCCTGGTTTGTTGAAGTTTCTCATCGCCGTGATCGTCCTTGCGCTCGGCTGCAAGCTTTTCCTGAGCGATATGCTGTTCAACTGTTTTGAACCAATGAAGGCCATCTAGTTCAGTGCTTTGATCGAGTAGTGCGTTAATGTATGCAATACCCATGGCGAAGCCATCGTCAGTGAAAGCTGCACCAGTCTGGTTCTTCTTAAACATCTTCTCCTTATTAGATACAGAATTGTCGACGAAACTGAGTGTTAGTGGCGGTACGATGGCGTAGAACTGCTGCAGATGGTAGGACTTGGTGTCGCGGAATGCCGATGCAAACACATCGACTAACAACTTGAAGTATTGAATACCCTCGGTGAAGTTACGCACCAAATCAGCAATGTCATTCTCTAACCGCTTAGCTGCAGCTTGTGTCGTGGCGCTATAATTTAGTTCATGACAGAGCGATTCAAATGGCACTGTTTTCTCGATATCTGGCAGGAAGGATACTGCATTAGAGCTGGCATGGAGACCGCCGGAACGAATCAACCGCACATAGCCGAGTGCGTTGCCGATCTGCGTAATCAGCTGACGAAATTGATCTAGGTAACTCAGCCCGTCGGCGGTCATTCCCAGTTTGCGGATACCCTTTTGGAATTTCTCCGCTCGTTCGTACGTGTATGGAGCGGCGCCTGCTTCTCGTTGTGCTCGGACAAATCTAATATCGCGCATCAATCGTGACTTGATGTGTTCGTCGAAGAGAAACTGCGAAAAGGTATGCAACTTTACACGCAGAAACTGGTAAACAAAATTTACCGTGGTGCTCATAATACCGGTACCATGGGTGCGAATTGAATTAGCAATATGCCGGATGCCGATGGTGTTTAGATGTTTGTTGCCACTGCTGTGTTCTACGAACGTTTGCGTATTCAGATTGTATAGGTATCTACAATGAAACAAAATATGAATATATATTGATATAAATTTCTAAATACTAATTATAATATAACAAATTCTTATATTATCGTGTTTAACAATTCTGGTTACCTGGAAACAAATACATGGATATTACGCATTATCTCTAGAGCGTCCAGACCCTGTTCAAGAGTCTGCGTCGGCAGGTGATCTTGTACCGTGTCCAGGCCCATCTTATAGCTGGCTAACGCATGCATCGTCCGGTAAGTTCTCCAATCGTGTAGAGCCACTGTCGTCAAGTTGTAAAACATATCGTCCAGATAATGCTCAACAAATCTCTTTGTATAAACCATGTTTTCGGCCAAAGGCAACGGCGGGACTCGTATCACCCTGCTACCGTCTTTCGCGCCAATATTAAAAGGATTTGTGGAGTCCAGTTTAAGATGAGCATGCACGTGCAGCCGTAGGCTAGTCTCGATCTCATGGCAGGCCGGTTTTAATACACTCTTCACCAGACTCTCCCGGAGTTCCGCAATGCGTTTTACCTTTAGCTCAGCGAATTCCTGCTCGCTTATGGCACTGTTGAAGGCCGCGAACAGATGTGCAACGTGGTGAACGCCGGTATTGCTGTCGACGACCGAGGAGAGGTAAGCGGGAAGCATGTTCTGATGATGCAACAGCAACGAATAGTCGTCGTGTTCGTCGACTAGTTCGTACAATTCGGCCATGGCATCGTAACTATCTAGTAGGAACCGTAGTTTCATCACATCTTCTTCGCGGAAGGTATCAGTCAGTTGAGTAGCGCACGCTAACGCGCAACGCACTATCAGCCGCCTATCTGCGCTCGCTGGACCACCTATCAGCCGCATACTCAGCCCTATCAGTGATAGTGCATCTAAGCGTTCCCTGCTGTAACCTTTATCCCTCTGAACAAGAGCCTTTCGCGCCGTTTCCAGCATAATTAGCACGTAGTAAGCAAGGTATTGCAGCACTTGCGCCTGCGATTGCACTACAACCGGCCCAAGTGCGTAGAACGTCATCTGCAGGGACTTCTGCAACTCGACGAGTCTGCAAATTAGTTGTACTGTGCCACGACTCATCGGCTTCGACAGCAAAGCATGCAGATTTGTTACAAATGCAATAGTCTCTCGCATTTGAGACAGCAAAGCTAACAAATCTGTCAGCAGCGTACGCTTTTGTCCAATGTCTGATACTTGCAGATTGGTTCTTGTAAGGATACTTTGCATCTCCACGCACCAGGTCGTTCCTCGTTGTATCAGATTGTTCACCGTGGTCGATAATCTTTGTATTCTCGCCTGTAGAATTTTTTCGCCTACCTGTGGGCTTATGGCATTGCCAGTTTCTTTTGGCACGACGTTGCTGAGGAACTTACTAGGCACCCACATTACATTCCCCACCAACGTGACCGCGTAGAATTTCTTGTTAGCCTCCAGCACCCTCTTGATCAGCTTCTTGTCGCAAGCGCCGAACAGCTTTATCATCACAGCGACGCCGACGTTGGCTCTTATCCAGTTCTTGTTCAACGCAGCATAGTCGTTGGATTTGCTCTCCACATCTGTAATCATATTTTTCAGATAACTTGTGATCTGCTCGCTCATGACTGCACCCTTATTTACATCCATTACATGCTCGATTGCCTTTAGAAACATGTTTTTTTGTAACAATTTCTCCTGTAAATCTTTGAGCAAATGATCAAACGTTTCAAGTTTTGTTTTGGTGACATGAAACTGTGATGGATTATGCATCATAGAGCGCGCGTGTATCCTGTATTTCTTCCACTGATCCAATATTGCTGGTTGAGCGTCGACGATTTCGTCGAGAGTTACAAGGATAACAAATAGATCTATGAAGCCTTCCAGCAGAACGGGTAAATAGATCTCATGGACGGCACCGGATAAACTTGCCAATTGTTGCGTGGTCAAGTGTACGACAGCTGACATTCGATTGGTAAAAACGGACAGATCTAAAAGATCTGACAATAATTTGGTCACACCAATAAGATCGTCATCCAAGCACCTTTCTCCATGGGCAAAGAGCTTTGCATAAAAGCCAGTAGCTTCCACTTTCAGCAATCTAATTTCTCTGCATGTTCCTGCTATTGCTGCCAGCAGTTTGGACAAAACTTTGTTTTCCATTTCTACCAGCGATAAGATACCAATATCTTCTGTCGTTTTGTAAACTAGACGAAGAGGACCTTCTATAACGTACTCCAATGTTGAATCACCCTTCCAGGATTTCTCCACCAGATTCTCAAAGAATTCTCCATACTTCCGCAGATGCATAGCACCTGCGGCCTTATAGATGCCTTCATCTTTTTTAGAATTCCACGTCGGTGCCTCTATCATTTTTATTTATTGAAACTGTGACTCCAGCAATTTGTGATGATCATTAAAGTCACTCTAATTATAGAATTTTTATGATTAATACATATGTATTATAGATGTACAAAATATGATAATTATATTAAAAATTTATTTCTTTTAAAGTTTCTCTCTTTGACATATAATATGTATAACTTACTTTATTTATACCGTATGTTTGTATTTTTTATGTACAATTATGATACAAGTATTACGTATTCAAACATAAATAACAACTATGCCCCATATTACTCTGTTTTTATACAGTATCCAATCCATTATTATTATTCCATCGAACTTCAGTTGTCAGCTGACACTTCAGACTGACATTGTCAAGACGGCTAATGTAACAAAGACATATATCATGTCCTACTATTACCGACAAATGGCAATATTCTTGAGAGTATCGACAGTAGATTTCCCATTCAGTCGATTAAATGGTATTTTATAACCGATAAGGAAGGAAAACCTTTAATTTTTCGTATCATCTCAAGCAAGAACGACGAAATAGCGAATAAAATCTAATTTTTTCTGTATTAATATCTTTTTATTATATCAGTACAAGACATTTTAAACAAAAAGTGAGATAGAAATTATATAATGCCAATTTTGTTGGCAACATCAAGTGCATCATAGTCGCGTGTTAGGCGCACGTATGCCTTTTTTCTGCCGTCCGGCCTCATCAATGTATTCACCTTTGCTACATCAACATCATAGAGCTTCTTAATCGACGCTTTGATGTGATATTTGTTGGCGTGGTCGTGTACAATAAAGACTAAGGTGTTGTTGTCCTCAATCTTCTTCATCGCCGCTTCCGTCGTCAATGGGAATTTTATGATGTTGAACGCGTCCATACTGAAATACAAGTCATAAAGATGCAATAATTTCTCGAAAGAAATTCATACATATATATCTATTTCTAAAATGAATCTCATTCAAACTCTTACCGATTTCTGTTCGGTACAGATTTGCGCGGATATTTGGGATTTCTAGGTGGCCTGAAAGTCTTGGGTCTGTGGAAGTGAACGGATGTCCTAATCTTCCGTACCCTGGAGCCATGAACGCCCTTCAAGATCTGTGAAGTAATAAATGTAACTGTTAGATCCATCATATTTGATACATTCTTGTATACAATATATGTTAATTGTTCAGTAATGTGCTAAAAATATTTTTCACAGAAATTCAAAGAGATTCCCACACTTAAATTCATCATGAAAGAAAATACGATTTGTTTCTCAAAGACAAGTTCAAATAATGTTATATTGACTGAGAGAGAGAGAGAGAGAGAGAGAGAGAGAGAGAATCATGACCTAAAAAAAACTTATTAAATAAATAAATTCGGCTAGTAATCGATCAATATGACGTTACATTAACATTATTTTGACTTTCTTGCTCTTCTTGAATAAACAAGATGAATATTTCCATTTCAAGTACCTTCTTCTGAGCCTTGAGAGCTTTCTGAACAGGAGTTGCTGATTTTCCACCTTTTGGGGTTTTCTTGGTAGCCTGTACATTCTTCTTGGGTTTACTAATCAATGGTTTGCTGGCAAGCTTGAGTACAGGCTTAGCTGCAGGCTTGGCAGCTGGCTTAGTGGTAGTTGCTGGTTTGGCAGCTGCCGGCTTCTTTGCAGCTGCAGGCTTAGCCGTAGGCTTTGTTACCTTTGAGGTAGACGCCGCTGTGGCTGGTTTCTTCTCAGCCTTCTTTTCTGTCTTCTTCTCTGCAGGCTTACCTATAAATGATATAGAACTGGATTAATAAATCAGACACATAGAAAAACAAAGATTTAAAGTAAATTTGTATTATTTTCAAAAATACCAACAGCACTTTTACAGAAGGTTCATCTTGGAAAGTAGAAAACGAAAAAACAGGACAAGTGGCAAAAAGAGATGAAAAACAAACTGTACAGTATAGATTAGGTTTTATAGGTTATGGTTCACTCGAATCTTACATCAAATAAACTAGTGTCGAACAAGCAATGTGGCAGGTGAAACTCCGTGGATACAGTGAATAAAAACCGCTAGATCAAATCACATAAAACATTCTTTTGGGAATCGTCATCGTTGTAAACAAGATGTTAGAAAACGTGCATACGTTCGACCGCATGGTCCTGAACCGCGTTCCTTGATCCTGAATATTGTGATGTTGATGTTACATTAATCGACGATTTTGAAAAACGCCTTTCAGCACAAAAACGCGTACTCGGGAGAAAGGACGAATGTTACGAATTATTTTCGAACCTACCTGCCTTCTCCGTGGGCTTCGGTTTCGGAGCCATTTTGCTAGAAAGGAAAGGAACGTCAATCCGTATCCAGCGGAAATGCAAACTCCGAATCCAACCCAACTACGTTAATCATTGACTGACGAAGAGGAAGAGGGCGACTCCGTCCAAATTCCGTATCAAAGCGATTTTGTGATTCAACCGGTAGAATTGGTTTGGCTGTGCAATATCAGCTAAAAATATTAGCTAAACAATTAGTCAAAAGAAGCTAATATCAGCCAATATTAAATAAATTTTGATGATAGCCTATGAATACATCCTATATAAATCAATTGCAGAAAACGAAACAAATTAATTTGACTTATTATAATGGCCACATTTTATTACAATTTTAGATCAATAACTTTTAAACGAGTAAGTGAATACAAATAAACTTTTACATGAATATTTATTGTTTTATTAATATATATGTATATTTTAAAACTTGATTTAATTCTTAATGTTATTTCTTCATAATATTTGCAAATATTATAAATATTGTAAGAAAACACGATTTTATATATATATAATGAATTATAAAAAAACAAACAAAAAGATTAAGTAACTTTTAATAAGAAAATTGTGCTCAAATTTTATGAAAAATTTATTAATTTTTTGTATTTTTTCGTATAGTCTTTATATATGTGAGACATTCTTAAAATAAATATTTTTCGATGTATTTTTACTGAATAAGAGATAAATTTAATATTAAGATTTATTATATGTATTTTGACATAATAATTTATTCCAGATACATCATATTTCACTATTAAGCCCGTATGAGCCTCCCCCATATGTCACAATATGAAACACCTGCCACAGCAACCAATGTTTTCCATTTAGTCATGCAGAATCAATTGTGCCTCGCTCCAAACTAGTGAACTTTAGTCTCTCTTGGTCAATCTCAAACAACAATATACAAAAACACGATCAACAACATGTAATTACAAAAATCCTAGTGACATATGTATGAAGAAAAAAGAACGTTCTTCTTTTATTAAGCGCTCTGATTCGAAGAGAACGATGTTGGAAACGCGCTCTGCGACTTACAAAATGATGAAAGAAGAAGCCCATGATGAGAGGCAGGTAGGAATTATCGTTCAAATTACGTGCAATTTTCGACATTCGAACGATCTAATTAATATGAACCTCGATCTCTGATCTATTTTTTTTATATACTAATGTCAATAAAATTTAATCTCGCGATTTTTGCTCTTTATCTCTTTTTCTAATACTTATAACTAAAAAAAGATAAACAGTAAATTAAATCAAGATTAAAGTAAGTCCACATACTGTAATCTACATTGTCTTGTTCTACCATTATATAAATTAACTTCAATCTTGATTTAATATTTTCTTCTAATCCTAAGAATTAGAAAAGATTAAAAAGTAATTAAATCGAGATTAAAGTTATAGTTTATCCTATGTTGGTGCTTTCTAAAATTTTTAGAATGAATCTTATTCTAAAGAGTGAAAATCTCATATTTAAGATTGAAAATTGAGTCACTCTTTTCAAGTCTGGCTTAATTTTTAATTTAAAATTAAAAATTTAGTAAGTAGAAATAGACATAATGTAGACTAATTTTAATCTCGATTTTTAATTTATTCTTCATCTTTTTCTAATCCTTAGAAAAAGAATTAAATTAAATTGAAATTAAAGTTAATTTTTATGAGTATAAATAAACTGTAATCTTCACCGCGACAGATAACTGATTGGCCACCACCATTCTCGTCTGAGACCACACCATACAACGAGAATGATTTCGGCACTTTAATCAGACGGACCTGCGAGAACAAAAACTTGACCCTCCGAATTTCCAAGGTGATCGTCATAGGCGACGTTGCTGTCGGCAAAACATCGTTGGTGAATCGGTAATAACTGATCGGTATCGGACCTCCATCATTTAATACAACTTTGGAAAATTCTTTACGGATTCAATTTGGCTATTCCGTAATCTGAAAACTTGAACAATAAGACGAATAATCATCGCTTTGCGCAGCTTCTGTCATAGGCTCTTTGACAACAATTACAAGGCTACCATCGGCGTGGATTTCGAGGTGGAGAGATTCGACATACTCGGCGTGCCTTTCCATTTGCAAATGTAATAAATTTAAGTCGACAAGCGTGTTCAGAAACATTTACACGGACAGAATGATTCTTATGAAGTATTAAAAGATTATCTAAAGACAGATCTAAAAATAACTTTATCGGACTATCAGAATAATTATGTAAAAAACTTATGTAATGCTGCAAAAAAATGTTGTTCTAGCAGCTTGAGCATCCTACGTAATTTATTTCGATAATCTAATCTAACAAACTTCTTTTTATATTAGTACCTATATCAATTTTAAGATATTTTAGCAAAAATTGTTCTTTCCGTGCAAGCGTCAATTGTAATGTAGTAATTTGAGATACCACTTACAGATGGGATACCGCGGGGCAGGAAAGATTCAAGTGCATAGCGGCGTCTTATTATCGTGGTGCTAATGGTAAAAATTCCTCTTGTGCACAATCTTCATCTGACTATCTTACAATTCTTATGCGTATTGTTTCATTTTAGTAATCATGATCGTTTTCGACTTGGGAAACCTGATGTCGCTGACGCATTGCCAACAATGGTTGAACGAAGCAAGTCGCAGCAATGTTGGTCCTCATCATATTTTTCTAGTCGGTACTAAAAAGGATCTGTTAGTAAGTAATAATATTATTATAGGCAGTATTCTTATATATTTAAAACCGTTTTAAGCAATGTCTCAAGATGCTTATGTTGTGATCGGTTTATATTGTATAAGTTAGTCTTGAAATTATAACAGACAGTAATTGTTATTGTAACTTACGATAAAGATTTAAATATATAAGAACTGTCTATATGAATACTATGAGAATTGACTATGATATATTATTCTTTATTAATCGTTTTTTTTTTCGGGAAAAATTAGTCTCATCCAGTATACGAAATAATCGAAAAACGAGCGGTTGAAGCAGCGAGAAGGATGCGAGCGGAATATTGGGCAGTCTCGTCGAGAACAGGCAACGGGGTATCAGAATTGTTTATGCGAATTGCTGCACTCTCCTTTCACGCGATGGTCCTGAGGGAGATGCAGAGCTTAAAACTCGAGCCGATCAACATCGGTTCAGCAACGATAAGTGAGTAAAATAGAAATCTAGCTCTTGAATTTATAACACTGGATCGACACAGTAAAAGAAATTTGGTAAGCGCAATGTAAGGACAAATTATTGATTGCATCTTCTTTCCAGCTTTGAAAAGACATTCGAAGACCGAGATAAAGCGACAGAGAATGCCAAAGTGCTCCAAATGCCCGACGTGATGAATACGAGTTAAATTCGGGAAAAGTGCTGTCGCATTTCATTTTATTCTTCCCAGTAAACAAATTAACATAAGGATCAGTCGAGTGTTTCAAAAATGTATTAAAAGTGTATACTAGTTTAGCTATATAGAAACAGATCTATTATTTGTCATTTTGTTCAGAAAGCATACCGTATTGTATCATTTTATCACCATTTATTAAACGTAAAACAATTCAACAAAAAGCTAATATTCAAATAAATAACGTCATTTTGTTTTACGTCCAGTGAATTAATTAAAATAGAATGACAACAGGTCTGTTCGCGTTACTTGAAATCGTTACAAATTTTTGAATTAAAAATGAGATAGATATATTTATGCGTTAAAAAAAGAAAGAAAACAAAGATACTGAGTACAAAAAGTGCAAGCAGCACGAATAGATCTACATATTGACACTGTGCTTCTCAAGCGCATCGTAAATAAAATACGACAAGATAATAAATGAGGTAAATAACTGCCATTTCAATAGATAACACATAAGCAACTAATTAATAAAAATAACGCGAAAGGTGGATTTTAATTCTTTTGCTTTTTGCGACCGGAAAGAGATCACTTGAATTTCGCGCGTCGACCGCGCGTTTCCGAGCGTCGCCGCTCGCGGCGCCATTGTCAACTAATTCGCCCTCATTTTATCATCCATTCTGCAGTTTTCTGCTCGAAGAATGATATAAAAAAAAAGAACAACAGTGATACCACCGACCGTCGTCGATTGTGACCGATCGCGGATCCATTATTTGTGTGACGTAGACGTATGTCCGCGTTGTCCTAAATTGTGAAAGTTTAATCCTCGTCGGATTAGTGCACTTACAGTGGAAACGACGCAGCTTCTATCACGTGGCTGTTGCGCTACTGGAAGGAGGGCCTGGAGGGCTTTCATTTATCCTAGCAACCGATCGGCTATTCAAAGGTAAATTTCGTACCGCATTCCGACAGGTGATAAGCGGTGGGGATGACGACGCGATGAAGAAGAAGCTTGGGGGTTCGACGAGGAGGGAGGCCACAAATCACGTGATCATTAGAAGCTCGCAATCTTAGAAATCACGCGACCGTTTATACGAATCTTGCAATCTTCGCAAAAAACGTGAATGAGTGATTTTTTTAAATATAGTACGCGCGTCCTAGTATATTTTAACGCACGATTAAAATGTAATTATATTATTCGCTTTGGTTCCAGTAGGTGTATTCTGTAACTTAACGCAAATTTCGTTTTTATTAGATCCCTGTTGCGCAGCTCTTTTACTATGGTAGAAAAACTGCGCAGCGTCGTTATAAGAATAACTATTAACGGATCTTGCGTTAAGAAAATAGAATAGATCTGCGGGATTTGATAATTTTGTAGAAGTTAGTAGCTTATCAACAGATTTTCCAACAGCTGATAGAATAACTATTATATATATGTGATGTTATCGCTGTTTCATGTCAGTAGTGGATCAGATGTATTAACGCAGTACACGATTCCAGACGATTACATTGAACGCTCTGAACGGACAGACTCTGCTGTGACACGTAAGCAGCTTTTTCGCTTGTATCAATTTTGACTGGGTCAAATGTGTCATGTTCGAGATAGGGTTCTACCGAAGTATGATTAACTTTAATCTCGGTTTAGCTTGCTGTTTATTTTTTTTTTTTTAATTTTAATTAGAAAAAAGTGAACAACAATTCTAACAGTTTTTGTTACTTAAGACGATTTTAATAAGAATGGAGTGTCCATTTTTAACTAAAATATTTTTTTCCGTGTAAAAACGAGTATAAGGTATTATTTATACAGTCATTTCTTATCAAGACCGTCTTAAATAACAATAAATCAATTAAAGAAACATATTATGTATAGTTTTAAGATATTAGACGGTCATGAAATAAGAATTAATGAGTGGTGAATACCAAGTTAAAAGGTGGCGGGTTGACGGATGAGTTTATATGACGCATTGGGTTATTTAATTTTTCCAACCATATTGCGTCGAGCACGTGGAAAGATAAATGACTTTTGAAACGATTATTCACAGAGGAGATTAAGCTTCATAGAGAACGTGATTGTTTCTTCGATCGATTATTTCTGCGAAAGATATAGGTATAAGAGTGCAAGATAATGACTTGGCATTTTTATGATTTTTCAAGTTCGACGTTATCATAACGTGCGAACTTTTTCATTGTATTTGCGGTACGTATATATAAAATAAACAATGAATCGAGATTTATGGTGCAATCGGTAGAAAATTTCGGTGATCGTTTTTATCTTATTTCATCGTCCACACGTGAACGTGCATCCGTGTACGTGCGAGTGAAACGCGTGCAATTAGCACGGAGAGAAATGGACAATACGAGCTGAATCTTACGTCAGTTTCCAGGAACCTTATCCAAGCCCGCTTTCTCTGCTCGCAACGAAAATTGCAACGGTACAATTACTTTACGAGATAAGAATTTTGTTCTCATCATTTTAAGAAATAGTTGCGGACACTTGACTTGTCATACAAGTCATTGACTCGATTATAGATGAGGTTCTGGATTTAGTTTTACCCTCAACGGTTAATAAAAGAATTAAGAAGTTAATTAGCGGAATCGAAACAATTAAAAAGTTTCGAAAAATATGTGGAGAGATAGTACATCGGATATTCGTAAGAGAAAAAAAATTGCTGACCATATTATTAGTGTCCAGTGCCAATGTACGGAGATATTCGAGGAATTTGAAATTTACTCTCTTTGTATTGCGTAAAAATTCAGTTAGTTATCTATACTTATCACTATGTTTTCTGATATTTTATTCTATTTTTCTATATCTATTTATCGATGTAGATTAATTCTAATCTCTGTCTAATTGACTTTTTGTTCTCTTTCAGTTCTAAGAAATAGAAGTAGTATTTGAAATAGATTTAAAACAGAACTAATATCTATATAGAAATATATCTAGTGCTTAGAAAAAGATGAAGAGTGAATTATAAGAACCGGCAGAGACAATTTCAATCACATTACAAATAAATAATTAAGAAAATTGCAATGTAAGTAAATGATATTTATAGTCAGAAAAGTAGTTTACGAGTTTCTGCAGAATTTTTGAGAAAAAATAAAAATTCGTTCCGATTATTTGTATTATAATGCAATTGAAATGCAGATAATTTTATTTTATTATAATTTTAAGAACTGAATTGCAAAATTTAACTCCATATAGATCCTCGTAGTTTCGTAAAACATAGTTAAAAATACTAAGTCTCATGGCGAAATATTGCTTTTACGAAACAAAATATTGATTGAACTCTATTATATTCGTACTGTGAATAAGGAGTAAATAATTTTATTTGTTGTAATATTTTTAAAATTAAACTGTCCAATTTTATAGAGATTTTTACTTTGTCCAACATTATAGAGTTTAAGAAATAAACCAAAAGAGTGTTATGGCAAAAAGAGTATTTTACAAGACAACATTTGATAGAATACAGATTCCAACTCAAGGAACACGTCAAAGTCAATTTTTAGTAAAAATGGCAAAAAGATTTTATTTTACAAGACAACATTTGATAGAATACAGATTCCAACTCAAGGAACACGTCAAAGTCAATCTTCAGTAAAAATGACTTTATTTGAATTTAAAATTATTTGAATTTTAAATTTAGTTAATGATTGCTATTAATGACTTAAAGATGACATAATGGCAAATTTTCGCCATAACGAGAAAATACATAATTATTTCAAATAAAAATAAAGTTATTTTAATTCTCTATTGACCTTGATGTGTTGTATCTGTACCACAAATGAGATGCAGATGAGTTGGTCTTGGCGTTACTGACCCTGAAATTAAAATTAATCTACATTGGTATGAATAAGCCGTAGAGTGGTAAAAACAAGATGGTAAAGGGAGCTCAGTTTTGGTACGTTTTCCTTCCTTTAGATTTGAGATCTCTGGAAGGTTATTTTATAGATTTTTGCGGTAGGATAATCAATCAAATGAACACGTGTTTGATCTTTGCTCTCAAATGTATTATTCAACGTTTGTTCTTTCGTAATAAAGCATTACTAATATCGTCACTTATGTTCTGCAGTAAGCATCAGTTTTATTACATCGTTCACAATGTGTTAAACATGCTCGAAATATGGTAGGCTTCAAATAATTTACTGAGGAATTTACGTGAACATCGATCTTAGGAATATCTCGTGTTGTGTATCTCCAAACTATACTTAATAAAACAAAATAGAGGTTGATCACAACTGCTGTTTCGCGGTTATGATTGGCCATATATCGCGTCATTACGTGTCTATTATAAGATTGTAAAGTATTAAAAAAAAAACAAGTCAAGGCAACGGTTATTATACATCTTGTCTAGGCAGCCTTGACGAAATGTTAGATGTTACTGATACTGAAAAGGTGTATCTAAGTTTCTTTGTCGATAACGATTTGGTTTGAATGTATTTTTTATTCAAGATTTATAAAGGTTTCAAGATGCTCCACGTATCATTTTTTTTTCTCTGTACTTTTTTTACTTTCCTGAGAATTCATCAGATTTTTAAATAGCTTTACGATATAAGAGTCTTCGTCGCAAGTCTTCGGTCGTTTTATGTCCTCCTGTTTCGTTTCTTTTTTCTTTCTCCGGAATTCCTCCGGATTCGACGTCATCTCGATCTCGATGTTCTTGTTATTTGAATCCTATTTTCAAATGCAACATTCTTTTCATATGGATATATTTAAATTATATTTGAATGTATTTAAATTATATTTGAATGAAATTATCAACACGTTGGCGGACTTTATTCGACGTTATTTTGTCGATATTAAGTAGTAATTACTCACTCACTGATATAGATATTTATTAACTTACCGCTAACATGTATTTTTACCAAACATTTGTTTAACATTTTGTTTTGTATGCTTATTGTACCTATGTTTAATTACGTGTTCGATTGGAGTTAAGAGCACGATTTCTGCTGTTGCACAAAGATTTGTTTGTAAATTGTAATAAATAAAAAATAATATAC